TTCCATCTATTAACAAGCCCTCGGCATCGACATGTCAGAACATGCTATCTAGGTACCTTATACAACATGAAAGTTTCAAACATTCCGCCTGGTCTTCACTGCAAATCGCTGTCTTGCCTTTTCACAGATGCCCAAGCAATGTACCTAGCACCATGATGTTGTCGAAGCAAAAGCTGTCGATTGCTTGCTTTTGTGCTGCCAGAGCTTCTTGCTGGCGCTCGATGATCTCGGATTGTTTTTTGAGGACATCGTGCATCCGGTCATTGTTAGCCTTGACCCATCGGACCATTGCCTCATGGTTTGTTGTGAGCCGATCGACTTGTGTTTTTAGTGCCTTGTATGATGCTTTGGCGCCGCGGTCCGTTGCCGTATTATTGTCGTTGAGGATTCTGACGTTCTCCTGCAACGAGTCGATGTCGCTCATGTGCTGTAGTGCTAATCGTGCACCCAGTCCTGCGCCTGCGCTCGGTCGGCTGGCGGTTGTCTGAGGTCCGGCGGTTGGTGCAACTACTTTGTCAGCAACTGCTTCGTCATTGTGTGTGTTGTTCGGAGTCTCCTCTTCTTGTCGCGGGCTGCCCACTGGGCTGTCGTTATTGAGCAATTCGTTGATATCATCGACGCCTAAATCATTGTCTGCGCGTGTGCTTGCTGCGTTGTCGCCCGATGTATTGTTGCCCGGTGCGTTGGTAGTGTCAATTCCATGCCCTCTCCCTCCTGCAGTTTCCTGACATTCGACATCGAAAGTGCCAATCGCCTATATACTTAGGTACCTAACTAACAATAATTTGGGACCAGTCAGGTCACTATTACTGGCGACGATTGATGCCCATGTAGTTGAGTATCACTCCGATGACGGCCCAGGCGCCCTCCGCGTGCTGGCGCCTATTTTCGATCCTCATGAGCATATATTATCTACAAACAAGCCGTAAGGGTGACTTACCGCCTTAGCTGGGCATCAAGGAACTCGTCGAAGGCATCCTATGCCCATTCGACTACGTTCCACCACGCTCAACCGCTATTTCATCTGATCAGCTAACTTCAAAGCATACTAAAGACTATAGAAGATGAATGAAATGAAATGAAATGAAATGAAATGAAATGAAATGAAATGAAATGAAATGAAATGAAATGAAATGAAATGAAATGAAATGAAATGAAATGAAATGAAATGAAAACGGTTTTTTGAATACTTACTCTGGCACTGGGGCAGGCTCAGGCGCGCCCTCGGGCTCCGGCGCGGGAGCGGGAGCGGGGGCTGGCGGCGCAGGAGGTGGTGTCGCTGCTGCTACTGCTACTGTTGCTGCTGCTTCCCGTACTGCTTCGGCGGCGGCGGTGGCGGCGGCCGCGACCGCTTCTGCTGCCGCTGACGTCGGTGCCGATGGGACCCCTCGGCGACAAGAGGTCGCAAACTTTGACTTGTAGAGGAAGACGCGACGTTGGTGGGCTACCTATGCGGGCTGGGCGGGCCTGGAGAGCAGAGGCAGCCTGGAGAGCAGAGGCAGCCCGGGCCGGGCGAGCAGCAGGGGCCGGGGGACAAGGGCAGGGCGCGCTCCTCTGCGCGCCTTTGATGGTAAGAGGATCTCATAGGCAGGGCCCTACTGCCCAAGGAACCTTCCGACAGTTCCTCCCCATAGCAGCTGCCTAGGAATAGATGGCACTTACTCAAGTGATGGGTGGATGGAGCGCTCTTCATGGCAAAACATTGGGAAGCGACGCCCAGTGAAGGCGTACGAATGTTCCTGACACAAGCTTTTTATCATGGGAGTTACTGCCTTGCCTGACTGTGGATGTTCACCTTCGTGTCTCAAGATTGAAGGGCTCGTTAATGTGTAGGCGACCTTGCCCAGCATTATCATAAATCAAGTCAAGAACTGATGTGGACTTCACCCACGCGGCTAGGTATGTATAGAGCCATCTTTCCGCTTATGAGAAGACAAAAATGGCAGCCGTACGGGCTGTAGGTGTAAGCGAGCCACCGACTTCAGGATAAACAGTACGGAAACATACGGGCTCAAACCTGTCAAAGTAAAAGACTGACCAGCTTGAGGGGCATCCAAGCCTCGTCCACTGAGCAATGTAGCATGGGCAAGATAGATGTAACCTAGAATTGCAAGAACGTTCAACTACCTTATGCTCGTGGCGATGAAGCTCGGTCATGAGAAGATGACCAGCCATGTGGCCTTAAGATCAAATACAAAAATGAGCTTAGTGCGTCATGGCATTCTCAAACAGCGTCCTCAGCTGGTCCCTCTCCCTCTCCACATCCTCTTCTAATCCCGGCGCAAGCATGAGCACCCTCCTCTGCGGCAGCGTGCCCTCGACGAGCGCGTCGATATCCTCGCTCTTGAATCCCAGCGCGCCGATGCCGGCGGGCTGGTCACCCAGATCGGCAAGGAACTTGGCCAGCGCATCGCCGAGCACGGCGCCCGCGTCCTCCTTCCTGACGCGTGAGATATCAACGCCAAAGGCCTCTGCGGCAGCAAGGTGGCGCTCGGGGTTCGAGGGCCCCGTGAAGCGGAAGACAGTAGGGGCTGTGACGGCGACACTGACGCCGTGGGGGATGAGGGGGTGGGGCACGTCATAGCCGGCGTGGACGTACTTGGCCGGGTTCTGGCCGGAGAGGGGGTAGGACATGCCGTGGCAGAGATGGACGCCTGCGTTGCCGAAACCAACACCGGCGAGGGTAGCGGCGAGGAGCATCTCAGACTGGGCTTCTGCATCGTCGGGATTGCGGACGGCGCGAGGCAGGTACTTGACGGTGCGCTGAAGGGCGTGGAAGGAGAAGACGTCACTGATAGGGTTGGCGCCTTGATAGGCCGGGCGGTTGATGGGGTTCGTGGGGCGGGGGGTGCGCTCCGTGTAGGGAATCGCAGTCCAGGACTCAAGGGCGTGACACAGCACGTCGAGACCAGAAGACGCCTTGACGGCAGCAGGCATGGTGGCCGTGTTGAGAGGGTCACAGATGCCAAGGGTGGGTTTGAGGTTGCGGTGGGCGACGCCAGTCTTTGCACGTTTGGAGACGAGGTCGAAGATGGCGGTGCCAGTCGTCTCGGAGCCGGTGCCGGCTGTCGTGGGAACGGCGATGAGGGGCTTCAATGGTTTGTCTACGGGAAGGCCGCGGCCCAGAGGAGCATTGACAAAGTCAAGGAAGTCAGCATCAGGGTAAGCGGTGTAGAGGTTCATCAGCTTGGCGGTGTCGATGACAGAGCCACCACCGACGGCGAGGAAGGCCGAGGGATTGTAGGGGCGAGCCCAGGCGATGGCTTCTTTCACAGAGGAGTCTTTGGGCTCGACGCGGCACTGGTTGTAGACCTTGTAGTTGATTCCTTCACGGTCGAGAGACTCGCGGACTTGCTGCATGGCGACGAGACCATCGACCGTGGCGTCAGTTACGACGGCGACGCGCTCGGCGGCCATGTTCTTCAGATCGAGGCCGACCTCTTGGGTGCTACCAGGACCGAAACGAATGGCAGACGCGGCCATTTCAAAGGCATACTCCTTGAGTGGCCCGGCAGGTGCGGCATAGCTGCGAGAGCTGGCGCTGGGGCTCGAACGGAGGGGGCGTGGTGTGATCTTTTGGTGGTGGTGGTGGTTCGGGTTCGAATGGCAGGGACAGGATGGAGGATGTGTGTATTGGATGGTGCGAAGGAGATTTGTCGCGCGCTTGGCAGCCTGAAAAGGTGTCAGGAGTGCAGGGACACACAGAAGCCATGACATGGATCAGGAGAACTCACGTTGGGAAGCACTCTAAGTGAGGGAGGCATGGCAGGCGTTGAGAGTGGAAGGGTTGTGCCTTTCTCGTCGTGTACAGCCTGACTCGGTGCCTGTGCCAATTGATTTAGACGACGAAGAGAAGCTCCTGAATAATAATGCTCAAGTCTAGGGCCGTGTTGGAAGAGGAGGCTCAGGAAGGTGTACTGTTGAAGTGGAGGTGTGTGATGAAGGAAGGAAGTGTGGTGGGAATCCCTGTGACGGGGACGAGGCAGACATCACACGGTAGGTCCTGCCCAGTGTCAACGCCTCCGATCGTAGGAGCCACTGGCCTGTTCTGGAGGGGACATGCGGTACAGGGCGGCATCTGCCTTAGGGAGCTCCTTCCCCGCGTCATGATGTTTCCCCACCTCTGTTCGTTTCGTGGGGAAGGTGATGCTGCGTTGCTCCTTCCCCAAGACCGATGGCTGGAGCCTCGGCTGTCCAGTGCTGACATCATCAACCCATCCAATCGTACGTCGCACCGGCAACCCTGGTTCTCATGCACAAACATTCGTAACGCGTTCGTGGCCGTTCCTGCAACCCTTCAACAGCGTCCAGTTTTACCCGTTTGAGCCAGCTCAACAGTGTCGCCCCATATTTGCCATTGCAACTCTTGACTCGAAAGACCCGAAAGACCGGGATCCTCGTCGCCTGGCAGCTTCAGCAGGCCAAATGGAGGATGCAACAACACATGATTCTCCGCCGGGGCCGCCGACATCTGTCAGCTGCCCGAACCCAAATCCTCCTCTGACTAGCTTCGACCGGTTGGATCTCCTCAAGGCCCTAAAGAAGCATACCGCAAGTTACGGCTTCAAAGTTACCATCCTGAGAACCAAGACACGCCCCAATGGCGAGATCTATCGCGTGCTCCTTGTCTGCGACCGTGGTGGCCGCCCCAAACCCTCCCAGAGCCGTGGTATCCGAAATGCCAAATCTACAAAGACGGACTGTAAATGGTCCAGCGTCCTCCTGCACACCGGCACAGAGTGGCTCCATGTACCGGGCCACTCCGTGCACAATCATCCTCCGCCCCTGAGCTTCGAGCCTCGTGACTCGGCGAGAAGCCGTGCAGAGGCTAGGAAGGCCGCCTCCACCCGCGTCCGCATACGTGCTGTCCTCCCCAACCTTTTCCTCGGTGCCTGGCCCCCAGGCCCCAAGAATTCCTTGACCGACGTGCCTGGCGTCCTCGTCTCGACGCACTCGTTGCACCCCATGTGGACTGTCAACACCGGCGTCACCTGCATTCTGCCTCGGAAGGAGTGGTTCTCAGAGGCTTGTCATGCTGGCATCTTCCGCTTCAATGGTGCCGGAGAGATGACCGGCTCTCATTGGATCGCCGAGACGGGTCTCCTTAACTCGCCCATCATCATCACCAACACGTTGGCCGTCGGTGACGCCGTCAGGGGCGTGTACGAATATGCTGTCGAGCACTATTCCACTGAGGGCGGCGAGCTCAAGTCCTTCCTGTTACCCGTCGTCGCCGAGACCTTTGACGGCTACCTCAGCGACATTTGCAAAATGTCCGTCAAATCGACAGACATTGTACGGAGCATCAACGAGGCCAGTGATGCGCCAGTCAAGGAGGGTAACTCTGGCGGCGGCACAGGCATGATCTGCCATCACTGGAAGGGTGGCACTGGTTCGGCTTCACGCGTGGTCCCAGGCCAGGATGCCGACGGCGAGCCCAAACCATACACCGTCGGTGTACTCGTCCAGGCCAACTATGGCAAGGCGGCGCACCTTCGCATTGGTGGTGTTCCTGTGGGACGGATCCTTCTGTATCAGCGAGATCAGGAGCAGGCGGCGCTTCTTCCAAGGGACGAACAGTCGCCGCAGCAGCAGCAATCGTTACCGCGAGTGCCACTGCCACCGGGACAATTATCCTTCAATGCACAACAGCAACAGCACCATCAGACACAACAGAGGGAACACCAAATGCAGCAAGAAGAGCGGCGTCAGCAACAGATCATAGAGCAACAGCGACAGCAGATCATTCAGCAGGAGCAGGAGCATATGTTGTTTCAGGAGCAACAACAACAACGTCGTCAGCAGGAGCGTCAACAAGAGCAGCAGCAGCTTCAACAAGAGCAGCAACAGCTTCAACAAGAGCAGCAGCAGCTTCAACACGAGCAGCAAGCTCGACAGCGACAGGAACAGCAGCAGCCACCGCGTCAGGAGCAACCACAGCAGGGCCACGGACCTGTGCAGTCATCAGTCGATGCCCCGCAGATACAGGAGAACCAGAACCATGAACGTCCAGCAGAAGAAGGCTCCGGAATGGAACTCGATGACGACGAGGAGAACGACGATGACGACGACGACGATGCTGATGATGCTGGTGATGCTGATGCTGGTGATGCTGGTGATGCTGGTGATGCTAATGATGCTGGTGATGCTGGTGATGATGCTGATGATCCCCAATCCGCCGCAGACGCCCAAATTCAATCCCAAGTCCTCGATCAGTACCGCAACTGGCAAGCCCACCTCGCCGCCCACAAGGAGCGCAAAGACGGCAGTATCATCGTGATCATTGCCACCGATGCTCCTCTCACGCCAACACAGTGCGAGCGTCTCGCTAAGCGCGCAACCGTCGGCTTCTCCCGCGTCGGCGGCTACGGACACAACCCATCCGGCGATCTTTTTCTTGCCTTTTCGACGGGAAACCATGTTCCCGTGCAAACGCTGGCAATGGACGGCTCGGATGCCTTTGACTCGTACAAGGCAAAGGCGCTGAAGCTCGAGGCTGTCGATGATGCAGGCATCAATGGACTTTTTGAAGCAGCGGCGGACGCTACGGAAGAGGCGATTTACAACTCAATCGTCATGGCAGATTCCATGGAGGGTTTCAAGGGGAGGAAGGTTGAAGGCATTCCCATCCCGAAGCTGAAGGACATCATGTCCCGATATCTATGACACGGTTGACTATAGACGTTGTGCCTGGACTTAAAATGCGGGCTTGATATTCCACGCGCCAAGGCGACAACCAGAAGTTAATTCCATCGACGACCCAGTTTCCACTTTTCATGGACTTTGCCATTCCAGCAGTTATCAGTTTCGCCATCTGCATCGTCGACGCGGATGATGTTCTCAACCAAGCCACGGCAGATTTGACCAGCTGCTCACACCTGTGTTCATCTCACTACTGTGAATACCCACCAAAAACTTAGCAGATGAGCACTCGAAGCAAAAGATTATGATCAAGACCAAAAATTAATGTTGATGAGGACGAGACTCGAACTCGCGCGGGTTGCCCCACCAGGAAATCTGTTAAGGAGACCTTAACCTGGCGCCATAACCAACTCGGCCACCTCACCGGAGATTGTTGATTGGCGGCTCGGGAGATGGGTTGATGATGCCAGAGTGTGGGTGGGGATGATACATGGTAGTTCAATTCACCTCACCCGGGTGGTGTGAGTATTGGCGAGGTAGTGTTGGAAATAGTACGGCTGTTCGTATCGGCACTGAGCCCACTGTTGCCTTGTTCGGCGTTTAAGGCTGTCCCTGATTGTCTCCTCCGTGGGCAAGAATCTTTGGCAACGTCCAAGAGGCAATGTACGACGAGGAAGTTATGACTGATAGCATCCAGTCTTTCGGTTCCATTTATGGCACACCATTCGCAACGTCTAGACTTCCTCTTCCACTTTGCCCTCGACTTGAAGGACATTGGCCATAGTCATCACGGTGTCGAGCATGTTCTTCCACTTCTCGTCAGGGGCTCTTGATTCCATCTCATTTGCCAATAGGTCCTGTTCACGCAGAATCCTTCCACATGCATTCTCAAGCCGGTTGAGCATCCGCACGATTGTCTCGGAGGTGCTTGTCGCCTGCTTTTTCTTCTCCTCAAGCCCGGAGCTCTTTACTTTGAGCTTGATCATCGAATCCAAGAAGCGCCTCGAATCGTCGAGCTGATGATGAAGGTCCTGCAGGGCAGAGTTGGCGTAGACAAGCTGATAAGCTCCGCATCTTGCATATGGGGTTCCGCCGTGGCCGTCCTGCAAACCACGATCTTCGCCATTTGAACGAGACGGAAACGGTGGAGTCTGCAATTCTGATAGTCGACGGCCGATAGGAGACCTGGGACTGGCGGGGATCTCGATATGCAAGCTTTCCCGTCGGTCGACGAGGCGCTTCTCTTCGTCAAGTCGCATCTGCCGCAGGGAGCCCAGAAGGTTTTTCTCCCACATGCGAAATCTCGTTGATTGTGAGACATTCTGCTCGGTATTGTTCCCAGGCTTGCATTCGCTGGAGTCGGGTTGAAGGCGATTTGAGGTGCTTCCACAGGCCATAGTTGCCTGCTCCGACGATGGCAGTCGCGAGACGACTGATCCTCGACGGCCTGTACTATCTTGAGGTTCCATATTTGCCGGTCTGGAAGATCTCATATGAATTGGCTTGGGGATCGATCCTGTGCGGATACGGTCGCTCTCGCGTGGTCGCCCCAAATCACCATCGTGGAAAGCTGTCGAAGCCCAGATCAGCATCAGCATTTGACAGGGACGGTATGAAGACCAACCTTGTACTGCTGCTGCGAGTGCGTCCATTCCCCTCTCAAGCATGCGCGTCTCGGACCCCCGTGTGGAGACGGAGTCCCTCGCCGAATACTCATTCTCGTCAACTTCAACGACCGTTTCGAGCATTGAGGCAGCTGCTGACAACGTATGTGCTTTAGAAGCTGGACAAGAAGACCTTGGGGCGAGGAACTCATTGTCAATAAGATACGGGAGATGATGTTATAGTATTGCCGACCACTGGCAGCCAGGAGGCGCCCCAGCGCCCGTAATCGCCCAGCCTGAATGACCATCTCACGGCGTAGCCATATTGTTGTATTCCGCCTGAAACCAAGAAGACAAGGGGATGGACTGAGTATGTGGTCAAGAAAACAGCGGTCAGCTGAAATGTGGAAATTCACGGTCACTTTTCTTTCAACTGCAGGACACGCAACTAAGTGATAGACTTGCAGCCAACTTGAGAGGTGATACATCTCTCAGGGGTGGCGCGTTGGTGTCTGTCACTTGTCAGATGCTAGGAAGTGAGACCACCCGAGAGAAATCCGCCACGCAACTGGAGAGCCTGCTCAGCGAGGAAAAAAGTTCATCGCAGATGAAATGATGATTGTGAGGGAAGCGTCTGGCTCCCACATGAGGTCGACCACCTTGGAGTAACGAGTCATGAGGAGAACTTGAAAACCTTTCGGTAACCAATTCCGATTAGTCTAGTGGTTAGGATATCGGCTTGTCACGCCGGGGACCGGGGTTCAATTCCCCGATCGGAAGATCTTTTTGTTTTTCGTTTGGCTCTGTCCACAAATCATCAGCCATTGACCACACATGATGCCACTCGTCCATGGCCTATGCTGAACAGTATTTTGTTCCCCTGTCATCAACGCGAGCAAGATACTGATGAGTTGATGCTTCAGTTCCGGCTATAGAGAAACGTTCCTGTTCACGGATCAGGCTATCAGCAATTCGAACAATGGCCATCGTCAAAATGTCTGCGCTAGGTAACTGTAAAAGCTGTGGCCTGGCTAGGAAAGTATCGACTTCGTCGAGGGTGTAACACACCACGAGACTGCTTGGGCGAAAGACTCGCCATTCCTCCGATGAATTGATGCTGCCAAGGTCATGTTGGGCCTGTTTGCAACTCGTTCTTCGTGGGCCGGCGCATCGTCTTCTCGCAAAGGGCGGACACGAGAGACCCCTGTTTCTCGACGGGAGGGTGGCTCATTGTTGCCTATGTCTGGGGTGAAAGTTTCGAATGGCTGAGGACTGTGGACGTGAGGAAACTTATCTCGTTCAATAACGCATACTGGCAAGTTGATACGAGATGCTGCTGTGAAAATCGCATAGCTGACATGCAACCGGCAACAGCATTCGCGGGTATGCGAGAGGAGAGGGGGATCCGACAGGATATCAAGGCGCAGGGTGGGATATGTTCTACAGTCTCGACCGCAGTGGCCACTCGCCTCCAAGAAGCGGCACCATGCATCTTGAGAACTTGCTGGGGATATACCTGCCCCCTCCTGACAGTCAAGGCATCTCTGTTACAGAGACTGTCGAAGAAATGTGCCTTGTCATGAATACGAATTGGCGACAAATCATCGCCCGCCCCGGAGAGCAAACAGATTGTTGACATGCTGTTGAAGAAATATGTTTCCGACAGGCTAAGTAGTAATTCGCAGTTCTATCTGCAGTTTGAATCACGGCTTGCCGCAAATCTGAGAAAACGCACGCTGATCCGCCGATTAATAAAAAGCACACCAGGACCAAGATCGCTCCTGGGCATCTGAAAACTGCTTCTCCGCTAGGCAGCACGTTGTACGCTGTCAACCTCCCATGTGTACTACATCCATTCCCTAGCCGTTTGCATGCCAATAAGTCTCATAACGACTGGAATTATGTGATAAGTTTCCTAGAGCAGCCTAGGGTGACTGCCACAGAGATCAAGGCATTAAGAGAAGGCCCTACCCGTCGAGCTTGTCACGTAATCACATGTTAAGCAATATTGAACCAGAGTCTGTATGCAGGCTTGTTGAAATATCCTACGTAGAATGATGTGACAGGGAATTAGAAAAATATGACCAAGAAAATGAACGAGCAAGGATAAATTGCTTCACATGCAGATCAACATCTAGTACACCTCCAGCACGTAGCGGCCCTCGTCCTTGAGCTTCTCAATCTCGTTCCTGGGGTTGACCTTCTTGCCGGTGAGCTTGCCCTCGTAGGCGATGGCCTCCTTGAGCACGTCGGTGACGTCGGGTACGGGCCAGGTGGGGCCGCAGAGGTAGAAGCTGCCCTCGTCGCGGATGTAGCTCTGCACAATGTCCTTGATGCTCTCGCGCATGCGGTCCTGAATGTAGATCTTCTGGGGCTGATCACGAGAGAAGGCGGCACCGAGCAGAGTGATGACACCGGCATCCTGGTAAGCCTCCCACTCCTCTCCGTAGAGGTACTCCTCGCGCTTGTGGCGGGAGCCGAGGTACAGGAGAATGGAGCCAATCTCCTCGCCGCGGGCCTTCTGCATGGCGCGGTACTGGACAAAGGCGCGGAAGGGGGCGAGACCGGTACCAAGACCAGCCATGATGAGAGGTGCCTTGGCGGAGGTAGGGAGCTTCATGACTGAGGGCTTGACCGAGACGGTGACGGTTGTGCCGACGGGAAGGCGGGACAGGTAGCGCGAGGCATGACCCCAGCGGGTGCGGCCGCGAGTGTCAACCCAGTCGACGACAACGATCATGAGAGAGACGGCGTTCGGGGTGACAGCCTGGGCGGAGGCGATCGAGTACTCACGGCGCTTGAGCGGGGACACGATACGCACAAGGTCGTGGAACGAGGGGCGCGCCGACGGGAACTCCTGGAGGACATCGACGTAGGTGAGCGTGTCCTCCTCGGAGCGCTTCTTGAAGTCGACAGCACCCTCGGCGCCGCCAAGGACGCGAAGTTGCTGAGCCTCCTTCTCGTCCGACGTGAATTCGGCGAGGGCCTCGTAGAAACGCTTGGGAGGCTTGCCAAGCACGTCGATGTTCTGCTTGAGGGCCTGGTAGACAGTGCGAGTGTCGAGGGCAGCGGCATCCTCGCGCGAGGGCACCTGCACAATCTCATCCGGGTTGAGACCGTACCACTTGATGAAGGCCTGAACCTCCTCATCGTCGTTCTCGGCGTGGATGCCGAGAGCCTCGCCTATCTTGTACGTGACGCCAGAGTCGCCGAGGTCAAACTCAATGTGGAAGATGTTACGGTCGTATGTCTCAGGTGTGAGACGACGGTTTTCCTTGACGGTGACGGTGTGCGTCTTGACAGAAAGCTCAGGGCGCAGCGTCGCCTTGGTGCCATACGCCTCCTTGAAGGCGAGGCCCTTTGCGGCAGCCTGCCAGTCGACAAGCCGGGAAACCTCGTCAGCCACGATGTCCTTAGCAGGCGCGAAGCTGTTAGTCTTGATAGTGGCGGGGAGCGAGGGCCAAATGTGGTCGGCAGGAAGCTCGGTGGTCTCGCTGGGAAGATCAAACTTGCGAAGCGTCACATCGAGAGCATCGAGGATCTCCTGGAGCGAAGGCGACGAGCCCTCAGGAAGGAGCGAGCGGGCAACATCCTCGCGGGATATGTCAGCGTGGGCGACCTCAAGGAAAGCAAATTCCAAGAGAATCCTGGCAGCAGACTCGTCCTCCTCGAAGGCAGCCGACTGAGCGGGATCGAGAATATAAATTTCGGCGCCCTTCTCGCGAACAGACTTGCGGACAAAAGCGGGGATACGCTTCTCAACATCCTCGTCTTTGAACTTGGGAAGCTTGACCAGGAGCTTGCCACCCTCCTTGACACCCTTAAGGATGTCAATGTCACGCAGCAGCTTCTCCTCGCCAATAGCAACGACATCGGCGTCCTCGATAGCATAGGGAGCATCGATGGTCTTCTTGGAGCTGCGAATGTCGGTACGAACGACACCGCCCTGGACAAGGTTGTCGTACTGCTCGCTGACATAGACGTTGCTGGTGGACTCGCGCGAGAGGAGGTTGCCAATGACGAAGGGAGAGTTGGCGGCGGCAGAGCTGTCGAGATCCCAGAAAGTGTACTGCTTGGCGTGGACAAGCGAGGGGAAGCGCTTAGCGGCTGCGCCGTGGCCCGAAACCTTGCCGAAAATATCGGCGACGGTCTGGGGCGTCAGGGGCTCGGAGGCGGCATACTTGACGTCAGAGACGGCGGGGTCTTGGCGGAACTTGCCAGAGAAGGCAATGCTGGTCAGGACATCAGTGTAGAGAGTCGACTGAACCGTGGCGTCATTGACGGCGAGCTCGTCACGGACCTGGCCAAGGACGGCAATGCGCTGGGTCGAGGCAGGGATGGCCTTGAGGAAAGCCTCCTCGACGAAGGGGCGGTAGACGCGCACGTTAATGGTGCCAACCTTGGCACCGTCAGCAGCAAGGCGACCGGCGACCTGCTTGGCGAGCTGAGCCTCAACGCTGCCAAAGACAACAAGGACAGTCTCGGCCTGCTTGTGGCCGTGGTACTCGAAGAGCTCGTACTCGGTGCCGAGCTCCTCGTTGAAGAGCCTGAGAAGCTCGACGATCTTGTCGGGATCCTCGAGGCTCTTGTTGAGGGTAGCGACCTCGTTGGAGATCTTCTTGTAGGTATCGGCAACGCCCTTCTTGTTGTTCAGAGCGCCAGAAGCCTTCATGGTCTCCTTGGCGAGCCTGACACCCTCATCGACACCCAGGGAAGGGGTCAGAGCAGTCATCAAGGTAGCGAGCAGGGCAGTGTGGCTGGACTCCTGGTCCTCGCCGTTACCAAGCTCACGGTTGACAATGCTCAGCAGGTTCTTGACCTTGGAGGAAATGGCCTCACGCTCCTCGGTAGCGACGGAGCCATCGGTGAGCTTGTTGTAGATGTCGGCGACGCCGCTCTTGTTGAGCGCATCAACAACGCGCGAAGTCTCGCGAGCGAGCCTGACGCCGTCGTAGACGTGAAGAGTAGGGATGACGGCGGCCATGAGGGTGGCGAACAGAGCCATGTGCTGGGTCTCGTAGGCGCTGGTGCTGGAGACGAGGCCGAGCCCAAGCTCCTCGGCGGTGCGCAGGGCGGTCTCGTACTCGGGGAGGAGGCCGTTGTGGGCATCGTAGTCGAGGGCAGCGATGTGGGCAACAAAGGGCGAGGCAACACCGTACAGCAGGCTCAGCTGGTCGAGAGCACCGCGAAGGCTCTTCAGACTCAGGCTGGGCGCCAGGAGAGTCTGAGGCACATGGCGCTTGGACATGTCAAAGTCGGGGCTGAACATGTAGCCAAGCGCGAAGGCGCCGGCGCCGGTCCTCGTCTGGAGCTGAACAACATCGGTGTGCTCGCCGTAAATGTTCTTCTCCTTGGCCTCGGCCCAAGCACGGGCGGCGACATCAAGGTCGAAAGTGGGCGCCGAGTAGCTGAAGATCTTGTCGGAGAGAAGGTAGGCGACCTGCTGAACGAGCAGCTGAGCAGTCACATAGGTCGGGCCGGACACGGAGGCGAGCGAGACCTGCTGGCCGAAGGGCAGGGCGGACGAGGTCTTCTCCTTGAGAGGAGCGTCCTGTGCGGGAGACATGATGTCGTCGGGCGTGAGATGGTCTTTGATGGGTGTGAGATCGAGGTCCGGTCTGGGACGAGAAAGAAGAACAGAGATGGCTAGTCTGTCCAGTAGAATCCAGGCGAGATAGAGCACAAGAAACGAGACTTGCTGCTTGATCTGGTAGCAGAGACCTGGAACCTGAAGAGAAAGTGATTCGAACAGGAAGTGAAAAGTGATTTGCATACAGCGACCAAACCCAAGGCGGAGGGGCAATGGCGAGAAAGCAAACTCGGAGCTGTCGACTTTGCTTGGGTGTCAAGAAAGCAACGACGCAACTCAGACCTGAAAGACTCTGTAGGTCTCTAGAAGATGTAGAGTCCAGACGAGAGAGGGCTCAGAGAGGGACAAAGAGGTGAGAGGAAAAAGACGTCGAGAAAAAGGCCCAGACGCGATCGAGTTGATTAATCAAGAGGCAAGCGGCCGGGAATCGCACCGGAGAAGCTTTGGTCTGCACTCCACAAACCCACTCTCACCCTCGTCCTCTTACCGGAAACGAGCTCCGTTCGGGCAGAGGCATGGGTGGGCGATGAACTTTTTTCATGGTCCATGATGGCGTGCTAGGAGGCTTTGGGGGGGTTCTCGCTGCGAAAGTCGGACATTGTCAGTGGCCAAGACTCTTTCCCAGCGCAAAACGTCGAGATCACGCAATTCCCGCTAGGCCGCAACCGGCTAGAGGAATGCTGGGGTGCGAGGCAGGAGCCTTGGGAGCCTCCGAGGACCCCCAAATTCCGTGGGGCCCATGTCTCACGTCACGTGGTCGCATGCGGGATGTCCGTCAGCCGCTTTTGTCAGCGAAATTCCTCGTGAGGACACCCGACTGGGGGTTGGAATCATCATGCCCTCATTGGACAGAGAGATCTACCATCTCAGACGTTGACACTTGATGCCGAGATATCTCCACAGCTGTACAATCGCATTGTTAACCGCATTGTTCCGGACGCTTGTGAAGATGATCTGGCTCACCCCTTGTAGCATCCCTCATGCTCAATATATCCGCCAACGACGAAGACTGGTGTCCATGGTCCTCATGCTAGGTAACTCCCATAACGCCTAGCATCCACCGTGCTACTCCCGCATCTGTCGCACATTCAGGTTGATCCGCTTGTTCTTCATCCATCCTTTCCAGCCCTCATACTTTCCCTCCTCAGCCGGCCAGTCCTGCAGCCACTCTGGACACGTTCCCTTGAGCACCTTGGGCACGCCATGCCATGCAAATCTCGCCTCCTGCGTCATGTAGATGGCGTCCCCTGATCTGAGCCTCAGTAGCAGATACTCTTTGCCCTGCGCCTTGACGTCGTCCGGAATTTCGCCCGCGCCGTTGGGCGCAATCATGAAGAGCCCATCACACCCGAAACTCAAGCTCACGAGCCCTCTGTCCGTCTCCTCGCTGACGTCGCGGTGCATCATCATCGTGTCGCCTGGTGTGTAAAAGTTGACAATGGCCGCCTGCGCGCGCGTCTCGGGGAAGAGGTCCTCGAGGAAGCTTGCAATGTCCGGCGGGAAGACAGGCGGCTCCTCGCCGGGGTATATGCGGTTCGTCCAATCGTACTGTCCGCCGAGGGTCACCCAGTGCAGGCGGCGGTCAAGAACCTGCTTGATGGAGAGGGGTTTGTGTACAGCGGGGTCCTTGGGTGTGAATATTGGTGCTGGGTCTGGTGGGTATGAAAAGAAGGACCTGTCTTCGTCCGTGTCTTGACGATAGGGGACCTCGTAAAAGGGATGCATGTTTGTCATGTGATGGCGGACGCTCAGGTCACGATGGACCATCAGGGAGATGAGGGACTTCTGCACGGCTGGGGGGACCAGGTCGGGCACGATGAGGAGGCCTTTGGACAGTCAGATTCGCCAACTGACGGAAAGGACACTTTGCACACTGACCTGGTAGCAATGGGTGGTATAAAATGGGAACATCTCGTATCGTCGAAGGGTCGATTGGCTCGGGGTGGACTGATGCAAAAGCGCTGGCCACCTTTTCGGCGGGGATGACACCGGCGACCTTGTAGTCTTTTGCTTGACCCTCAGACCTGGGGTCGTCAATATCTGGGTGGTTGCGCAAGTGGAAGGCCTCCAGTTTGGAATAGCTCTTCCAGGAGGCCCTCATTTCTTCGGATGGCTGTTCATGAGCGTCGAGCTCAGTAATGGTCGCCATGGTGGGGTCATGCGACGGCCGTCTTTTTTCATCAAGAGAGTTTAGAGGTGCAGTGATTCGGCATCAATAAGGCGGCCGGCGTGTATTCCCTGTATTTCAGTACGGTGAGGAGATTCGGGTCTTTCTTTTTCTGTCATCTGTGATCTGCCCACCGGATCGCGGGTCGTCTCACAGCCAGAGCGAGATAGAGGACTGTCCTTCCCTGACCCCAAGAAAAAAGTACTTGTGTACCCGTGCTTCACCGTGCCCCTCGTTGTGGCTCAGCACGTCTTATCACAACAGAGAAGCACGGCCGATAAGGCTCTGGGGACCCACCGATCGCATCGGCCCCGCCACAACGCGAGCTGAATCAGGGCGACTTGGGCGCGCGTCGTGTCGACCAGTCCCTGCGTCGAGTCTTGTTTTCGTTCGAGGTGCCCCGCCTCCACTGTAAACACTGTAAACAGCAACGACGCTACCCTCTGGCTAGGGCGCTGTGTCTCCGGGGCACTTAGTGGACGCACCTCTGATGCAGGGCGGGGGCTGCTGCCATGCACTTTGCGGTCAGCAAAGCAATTTCGACGACCTGAACGAAAGGGACGACAACAACGAGCGAAAACACCACCAAAACTCCCACACCGCCAACCAAGCCCAACTCCCTCCCCAAAACGACAATACTAACGAGACAGGACCTGCACGACATCACGACCATCACAAACCCCCCCACCTGCACTTTCTTCTCGCCCATGGATTGAAGCTGAGACCACGTCACATTCGGCCGCCCGATCTTCTTCTTCTTCCATAGATACCCGTCGTCATCCCCCCCCCCCCAGTCCCGTAATCTCGTTGCCCCTCGTCCCACCACGACGCGCGCCTCACCTCGCCCTCAACGCCCCTGCAAACGCCTTCACCCCACTTCCCCTCGACGCCGCTCTGACAGCCCTTGACGATCAATTTCATTCTCCGACGACAAGACCCTTGCCGATTATCACGATACGCATCCTGTTCAGTTGATACACAATGGAGAACTACCAGAAGCTCGAGAAGATTGGCGAAGGTACAACTGCCTGCCCTTGCTGGCCATACGCAACCCCCTTCCCCTCGGCCGTCACTCTGCTCTTTGCTGACCCGCTGCACAGGCACCTACGGTGTCGTCTACAAGGCTCGCGATCTCCTCAATGGAGGCCGCATAGTAGCCCTCAAGAAGATTCGCCTCGAGGCCGAGGACGAGGGTGTCCCTTCGACTGCCATTCGCGAGATCTCTCTGCTCAAGGAGATGCGCGACCCCACATTGTCCGCCTCTTCAACATTGTCCACTCCGACGGCCACAAGCTCTACCTCGTCTTCGAGTTCCTCGATCTCGATCTGAAGAAGTACATGGAGGCCCTGCCCGTCAAGGATGGTGGTCGTGGCAAGGCCCTGCCTGAGGGCTCCTCTGAGGTCCTCTCGCGTCTTGGTCTTGGTCCGGCCGTCATTCAAAAGTTCATGTGGCAGCTCTGCGACGGCATTCGTTACTGCCACTCCCACCGCATTCTCCACCGCGATCTCAAGCCCCAGAACCTGCTCATCGACAAGGAGGGCAACCTCAAGCTCGCCGATTTCGGTCTCGCCCGCGCCTTTGGCGTGCCCCTGCGCACCTATACCCACGAGGTCGTGACCCTGTGGTACCGCGCCCCCGAGATTCTGCTCGGTGGTCGTCAATATTCCACCGGCGTCGACATGTGGTCTGTCGGCTGCATTTTCGCTGAGATGTGCACCCGCAAGCCTCTCTTCCCTGGTGACTCTGAGATTGACGAGATCTTCAAGATCTTCCGGTAAACAGCAGCCCCTTCCCCCTTGGTCTCTTGCTATCCCGAAATAACCACTGACATGGGAACAGCGCCCTTGGAACTCCCACCGAGGATGTCTGGCCTGGTGTCACCTCGTACGCCGACTTCAAGAGCTCTTTCCCCAAGTGGATCCGCGACGAGCGCCTGCCGCTGTGCACCAACCTCGACTCGGTCGGCCTCGAGCTGCTCGAGATGATGCTCATCTACGACCCCGCGAGCCGCATCTCTGCCAAGCAGTCTTGCAACCACCCGTACTTCGAGACCTACCCCGCCGCCCAGCAACAGCCCGCTCGCACCAATGGGTACCACTAGAAGCGACCCAATTACCCAAGCGGCAACAGCAGGCGCATCCTGCGCATCTAGCGGGGGATGATAGAAGAACCCCGAGCACGAGATGAGGGCCTGAGAAGCATGGGCAAGTGAGACGCAAACGCAGATATTCACCCCGTTTCCAGTGACGTTGGAAGGCATTCTTTACTCTGGCTTCTGGATACCCCCTGATATTTTTCTGGCTTGTCGCATCCTTGGGGACGGCAGCAGTATTCTACCAGCCGAGCGAAGCAACAAAGTGCTCCGCTCATGCGACCTTGACACGAAATGGAAAATACGACGCGCGGATGGGGCCCCTGTGATGCGAGGAGGAGCAAAGGGGCCGCTCAACACTTTGGCCATCTGTACAGCAGGCGTCTCGACAACAGTATGGTTTGTGCCCGACATAATAGGCAGGCGGCAGACAAGGAAAAAGGGGTTTCAGCGCGCAGCATCCGGCATCCGGCACATGCCAGAACGGGCATGCGGCGCTTCGCTGCGCGACGTTGGGGCATCTTGGCGAGGAGGTCTGTCTCCTTTTCCTTTGTCATTAATGTACAGAATAGACGATGCACACGGACCACGGAGGGCACTTGGCAGGACAGGTTCTTTGCTTTCATACGATGGTCAGCCTTTTTTCCCCGAAAAAAATGAGAAAACTATGCCCTCCCAACCTGCCCTTTCCCTTTACCCCTTTTTCGCTCTTCGCGAACGCAATGTGAGGTCCACTAGGACGATTCACCTGTTTAACCCACCAGACAAGAACATCAATTGCCCTTCTCGGCCCCTGACGTCTTTATATGTATGCATCTGGTATCGTTGGCCCCGTTTCAGTTTCAAGATTGCCCCATTCACGTTGAGACCACACCAGAACCCCACCCTCCCCGCTCCGAGGCACCGCTCTTTCTGATAGGAAGGCGGGCAGTAACATGGCATCTGGGACCCCGCGGTCCAGGCTCCCGGAAGCGTGGCAGGCGTCGCCGGGAGCGAAGGCGCGGACAAAGTGGTCTCATGGCGGTCCGGAAGCGGTTGGGCCTGGGGCTAGAGCGTGAGGCGGATCGTTGCCATGTGCGGCTGCATAGCGTTGGCGGAAAGTGCCGTACGAGCAGGTTGAAATGAGGCAGAACAAGTGGTGCTTGGAGGGGGTCTTTTGGATCTCTTTGCTTCGGTGGAGGGTTTTCTTTCTTTGGGCGAGAAAATAGGGGGGAAACGGGGAAACGGGGGGTTGTTTGTTTCTTTCTTTGACGTCGTGCCTGTGTTGGGGATGGGCACTCGGGGTCCAGCCTTCCATTGTTCTTCCTTTGCTTGGCTTTTTCTGGCTTCGGCATGGTCAGCTTGGGGCCGGGGGGTTTTATGTGACCCGGATCGGCGTGGGAGTGTGCTTTTGCTCGTGTGTGATGGCGAGGCTGGTGAGACCTGGACCCGGACTCTCCTGACTCAATCGCTGGCGGTTTCGGGGGAGGACAGCTATGTGGTGAGCGGAGAGCCATGTGGCGGCGCGTGGCTTTCCCGAGTGGTTGGATGGCATGTCTAGGGGAGCACGAGGTGAGCGTACGAGATGGGTCGTCGTTGTGGGTTACCTGGTGGGCTGTCCGTCTGGCTGTTGGCCAATTCTCCGACCCTTCAAGGCTGACAAGGTTGTAGGAGGGTACCAGGAGAGACACAACGGCCAGGGTTCATGCCTCGTGGTAGCGTGAGATGCATCGTGATAGCGAGAGTGTCTACCCTAACGAAGTGCTTCCCTCGGACAACGGGAGGAATGTTAGTCGACAACAGTGCCCAGCAAACAGCACACCCGCACCCAGCACCACACACACGTCACGCCATCGGTAGGGCAGACACAGCACAGCACCGATGAATAGCACAGCGCACACGGAGCTATGCATCACACGTAGCGGCATCATCAACTCATCACGGACAGTCACACCCCTAGCATCTGCCGAGACCTGGTCCCAGAACCGCGCACCTGGGCCCCGACTCCCCGACGCCGTCCTTCTTTCGCAATCCAATTTCTCTCTCCATCCATTCTAGTACGTCCACATCAGGCAGAGCCTCTACCGTCCGCCGCAAGGAGCAAGAGGAGCGAGAGACAAAAGAAGCCCCTCCCGCATCCGTTGGATGGGTGACCGGGCCCCCAGACACCGTACCGTACACCCCCTACTCCACCCTTCCGCAAGCGGCCGGGTGGGGGCCTCCTTCCCCCCAGCACGGCCGACCCGGAAGACCCCAGCGGATGCAGCCCGGAAGCGCACAGCATGGCAGATGGGTTAGAAGACCCCCCCGGGGTCTCACCATTTTTTAAAGGTGAGCTTGGATTTTGGGGTTTCCCCCATTGCGGCAGGGTGGTTCGCATGTTTTTGTGTTTCGCCGGTGGTTTCTGATGTAGCGTGACACCTCCGCGCACCGAACGGTCGCTTTATCACGCCACGGGTGACCGGATCCCTGGGATCGGGGTCCAGATGGGCGGGCTTTGGATGCCGAAAGGGTGGCTGTTCTTGGAGGCTTTTTTTACGCGTCATGGGCTGAGAATGCTGGAAATCTGGATCATGACTGACACTTGGCGTTCATACCAAGCTGGGTAAGGAAGGGCAGGCTAGCTTGGGGTCCGGGAATCTGGCTCGGCAGATGCAGGCTCATTTGACAAGGCTGGAAGGAATTTTGGATCCGCATGTCGTTGCTTGGTTCGCGCCCGAGGGAGGAATGTTTGATTGTGCGCCTTTGCGGTTAGCGAGCCCAATGAGAGTGTCGAGTTGGGGGATTGGCAGCGCACGAGCGCGTGTAGGCGCCGGGTTTGATCCCTCTGGCGTAAGCGACAGGATTTCTGCTGTCCTTGACGCCTGGCGGCCGCAGGCGGTCTGGAGGGGGTTCAGAAGGTGCATTTTGAATTATGATGAAGGTTGGTATTTCGGGAGGGTGTTTTGATTGACTGGGTAGACGGTGTGCGCTTGATGAAACGCAGCCGTGGTGGCAGCGGTAGGCTGAAGGATCTCATCGTGGCCGGCGCCTATTTGCGCTTCTGGTGCTCGATACTCGACGCCTGACGCCTGACGCTCGACGCCCGAAGGCTGCAAGCTGTTACCACCTGTCTGATGCTAAGCAGCAATCAGAGGAATTATCCACTTCGAAAGCAGTCCTTTTTTTTGGTTGCTTGGGTCAGCCTCCAGAGGAAACCTTGTTGTTTCGCCGACGGTGCACATTCCTCCAGTCTGCCTAGTGACATCGCCTGTAAGAATGGAATCAACCTTGCTCGCGGCACAGAACGTCCTGTTTCTCGTCAGCATTGTCAAATTGCTGGGAGGCAGTCGGTTGTTCTTTCAGGCTGTAGCTTCTTTTACTGATTGATTTTCATGAAGACTCAAGGGGTCAATTGATTACGCCACGGCCTGGGAACAATAACAATGGCATTTAGTCTCTCTAGTCGTGATTGGAAAGCCCGACCGGATGCAGCGTGGCATATCGTAATCCTTCCAAGTAATCATACTTCATGACGGAGCTCACGGTGTACCACATCCAGTCGCTTCACAGCCTCGGGCGTAACAATCTAGCTGGTGCCGCTCAACCAGCCACAGGCGTGTGACATTATTGGTATGAAGGGCTCTCAAAAAGGAAAGACTATTTCTTGACCAAGTGTTCCTTATGTTTCTACTCTGATCTAGTCGTTGCAAGCTGGGCGAGGGTATGCAATGAAGGCCAAGCGAATACTTGCTCGTGCAACTGGGCCATTTGACACAGCCTTGCCCGGAGTAATTCTCTGCTTTTCAACCCGAAGTACCGGTTGTCGAGGAGGATGGGTTTTGCAGGAAAGTCCCTAGTATTCATGGTTGCGGGTATGTGAATTGACTACCTTCCTTACTTACCTACCTCATTATGCATCAGTCATTGCTGAATCTTGCCCTGGACAAGCAGCATAGGCTGCCTGCAAGAAATCACTCCATTGCTGCGCAATAGGACTTGCCTGCCGATCACCCTAACAGCATACACCGAATCATAACTGCAAGCAGGAATCTTCAGCTCTGCAGGCAGCACCTTTACTGTCACGAGCATCGTGAACTGCGCTCGACTCACAAGCCACATGACAGGCGCCGAGCTCCCCACCAGCGTGATAAGAATAGCTCCTCGCTTATCGCCTGTGCTCGGAGGCCAACCGCAACATCGGTCCCCCCCCCCCCCACAAACCCGGACCCGCCCGACAAAACCCCGTCGGCGCACGCACGCGTTGCACCCAAATGCAGTGCATCCGGCGAGGCCGTGAATCAACCCACCAACTCGGACGTGCACACTGCTCAATGCGTCACATCACACATGGGCCATGCCAGAGGCACCCTGCCGGAGACGGGAGCGCGAGAGACAAAGTTACGCACTTCGCCGAAACACACAAAAAGAAAATAACCTTGCTAAGCTGAGCAGTGCCTCCTTCCCATGCTGGAAGCAAGTCAAGGACACCAAAACAAGAACAACGAGAAAACAAGATTTTTTCCGTCAGGCCACTTTTTGTCGGCCTCGGCTTGCATGCAGTGCTTGCGCATCGCGAGATTCATGACTGGGGTGTGGTGCTGCTTTCCGCTGGGGAGCGAGACAAAGAACGCTACTCGCGTGAGCTGATGACTTATCAGCTTTGGGACAGAGGACAGAGGAAGAGAGAGGGAGAGCACAGGCCCGGCAAGCCATGCATCCCCTGCTATTGAACGCCCCTCCTAGCTCGGCTCTTTCGGTCCAAGCCACAGTCTGCATCGTTCCCCGAGCTGAGTAATCCCTGAAGGCGATCATCGACGCTGAACAGGGGGCAACATGTGTGGCGCAGGTGCGAGGGGGGTCCAAGACACTCGAGTGCATTCTGGCATGTGCTGGTGGCCAAAAAGGCCCATTGTGATCTTGACTTCACTTGGAACAACGACTCACTCAACAACAATAGACCCCCTTTACCCTTCGCATGACAAGTCCATCAGTCGCCCATTCCGCCCAAACAACCGCAATTTACCTTCCCAAACCTGTAGGCACCCAAG